ATAATAATTTTTGCAGTACTAGGGTTTGAACCTGGCCTCCACTTTGAACCACTCTACCAACCCTCTTTTAGTGATGGGTTTTTCAAGATAGGGTCTCACGACCCATTTGCCTGGGCTGGCTTCAAATGAGATCCTCCTGATCTCTGCCTCCTGAGTAACTAGGATTTACAGGCATGAAGGTGCCTGGCTGAGGCCCTCTGTTTTAATTGCGTAAGATCACCCAGGGTGAGTGGATAGAGTAAGATAAGAACATACTTAGGATACTGAGGAAATACCATGTTTTAGGAAAAGGCAGAAAAAGAAATAAACCCCAAAGGAGATGGAGGTAAGACAGCCATACATTATTTGATAACATCAGTAGTTAGCATTTAACAAGTGTTTACTCTGTCCTGGCCTGTTGTAAGTGCTATACTTTGAATCTTCATAGTAACTTTGAGTTAGTTTGGTACTATAGTTATTCTCATTTTACCGATGAGAAAAGTGGAGCACAGAGAAAGTAACTTGTCTAAGGTGGCAAAACTAGTGATTATAACAGGAGTCTAGTTCTACTAGAGAGATAGAGGAAGAAACCCAGGAAGAGTATGGCAGTAAGGAAGCTCTGAGAAAAAGCGTTTTAGTTAGGAGGGCATGGTCAGTAATGTAAAGTGCTGCTGAGAGGTCAGATAAGATAAAGGACTAAAAAAAGAATCTCTTTGATTTCACAATATATAGATCATTGATGACTTTGGCTAGAGCAGCTTTCATAGAGTGTAGAGACAGAAACCAGATGAGAGACGGGAGAAGAGTTAAGGCATGAGTGGGAGTTGGAAAAGAAGTCTTAAGGAGAGAGCTTTTCCAAAAACTTTAGTTACAAGGTGGGAGAATGCCAGAGGGTGCTAGGGACAGGGAGAGTTGCTTTAAGATGGAAAAAATTTGAATGAGTTTAAAGTATGATAAAAAGAAACAAGTTGAGTGTGAGGCTGAAAGTAATAGAAGGAGGAATAAGTAGAATAAAATTTCTGATCAAGAAGAAAATGGGTCTAAGGCCCAGAGAGATTCATTTTAGATGTGGTCAGTTTTAGATTGATTGGTTCTGATGCAGACAGTTAAGGACATTTCCTTCTTTTCTCTTCTTAGCCCAGATTCTTGAGAATCTTGGCTATTTCCACTTCTTTCCTCCTCTTTTTGTATCTTTCACTTCTTTGGTTACTGCAGTCTCCAAATTCCCAAATCTAGTGGATACAAAGTCCTTGGCTTATGTGATCTCTTGCCTTATTTGGTGCAACTCCATCTCTGGCCACTTCCTAAATTCACCTTATAATTTCCCAGGGTTCTCACTTCAGTACCCTTTTCATTTCATATTTCTCTTTATATAATCATATCCATCTCCACAAATTTAGCTACTTATAGTCTCATTAATTCATATTCATAAATATCCTCCCTCTCTCTGTGCCCTCCCTATGAGAGGTGTAATGTTGTTTTTATTTCTGACATGGCATTGAGTCAACAACAAAAAATGACTGCCTTAGTTACTCTTCTGCATGCTGATTAATCTTCAATCCAGAGAGAGCAAGAGTGGGTGTCTCTAGACTTGTCACTTAATGGTTACTCTGTCACTTCACAGTTACCAAGGAACTACTGAGCACAGAACCTTGGTCAATGCAAAAGCAGCCTATTACCTGTGTTTACAAGGAGTTTAAATATAAGTTGGGGTTCAAACATTATTAGTATGCACAACATAATATCCCAGCAAGTATAAATTAAGGTATCTAATAGCATTAGCCTTCGAATGGAAATTTTTTACTACCAGTATAAAAGAAAGTGGGTTATAGATGTGGCTAATTTTATGTTCTTATTAAAATGTTTCCCTAAGGATCAGGAACTTTGGTGATAAAAGTAAAAGAAGTTTTCATAGAGGAAAATAATAAACAAAAGCTTTTTATTTTTTTAGTCCCTCCCTTTGAGATAGTAAATTCTAGATTAAAATGCATATTAAGAAAATAGGTCAAGGCCACACTATCTTACCCCTACCAGTTATATTTTCATCATGGAACTCCCTCAAGAGGGCTACGACTGGCTTTTTTGTTTCATTTTTAGCATGAACATCCATAATTACACATTTACACCTCCCAGCCTCTCTGGTTTGTTTGTTTATTTGGGCTTATTTATTTTGAGGGGTTTTTTGGTGGCTCTGGGGTTTGAACTTAGGGCCTAATGCTTGCTAGACAAGTGTTCTTACCAGTTGAGCTTCTCTACCAGCCTGCCTCTGTTTTTATGGTCCCCACATAAAATTGATTTTGACATATACTGGAAATTACCATATAAAGCTTTTCCTAGAGCTGATGCACAAGAATCCCTGGTGGTGGGAAATTGAGTGATCATTCTTAAAAGAACCATGGCACAGTTTCTCTACTGTTGATGTATACATGCTCTCTGGTACACAGATATCATTTTATTGTCATAGCAATACAGTGAAATAAACATTAAAAATGGGGGGAGGGCTGGGTACCAGTGGCTCACATCTACACTTAGGAGACTGAAATTGGGAGGATTGTGATTCTAGGCCAGCCCGGCAAAAAGCTGGGCATGGTGGTGCATGCCTGTCATCCCAGCTACGGTTGAAAGGGTGAGAAAGGATCACTATCCAAACTGGCCTGGGCAAAAAGCAAGATCCTATCCAAAATAACTAGAGCAAAGAGGACTGGAGATGTGTCTCAAACAGTAGAGCACCTGCCTAGCAAGCGCGGGATTTTGAGTTCAAACCCCAGTACTGCCAAAAGAAAAAAACAAAAGAGTTCCTCAGTTTTCAAAGATCCCAACATTAGAAGTTAATCACAACCAATGATAGCATTACAGAATTTTAGACATATTAAAATAAATCTTAGAAATCATCATATAACCCCTTCTTTTAGATTATAACACTAAGGCCCAAGAGATTAAATTTAACTAAGTTTATATCACTTATTAATGGTAGATCTGGAACTAGAATTGAGTGCTAAAAGCTAATTTCCTTCTCACCCTCCTTAGCTTCCTGATTTTCTATAGTATGTGTATAATATTTTGGTTAGGCAGGAAGATGACCATTATCCTTCAATTAAAATCTTGACTGAAGTGTAGCATGTGTGAGGCCCTGAGTTTAATCCTAAACCAGAAACACCAAGAAATAACAAATGACAACACAAGAAAACATGAAGACCCCCATTTCTCCTAGGAACACCTGTTGGTTTTTGGCAGCATCAGGATTTGAACTCAAGCCCTCACGCTTGCTAGGCTAGGTGCTCTTACCACTTGAGTCACTCTGCCACTCCTTATTTGAGCTGAAGTTTTTTCAATATAGGGTCTCTCAAGCTATTTGCCTGGGCTGGCTTCCAGCCACAATCCTCCTGATCTCTGCCTCCTGAGTAGCTAGGATTATAGGTGTTAGTCACCAGTGCCTGGTACACTTCACATTTGAGCCACATTCCAATCCTGCTTGATCTTTTCCCTTTTTTTTTTTTTTAAATAGAGGGTCTCACTATGTAGCCCAGACTATAATCCTCCTGCCTTAACCTCTTGAGTGCTGGGACCACAGTGTATGCCATCATGCCCAGCTTGGTCTTTTAATATAAGGAAAATTACCATTAAGTATTTTCTGTGTTCCAGGATCTTTCATACACATTATCTCATTGAATACTTGTGAAGTAGATAAAATAGAACAGTGCTTCTCACATTTTCACGTGCATATGAATCACCTTTTGGATCTCGTTAAAGATGCAGACTTGGATTTAGCAGGTCTGGGATGGGGTTCAAGATTCTGCTTTTTTTTCGTGTGTGTGTGTGTTACTGGTTGAATTCAGGGTCTTGTGCTTGCTAAGCAGGTGTTTTACTACTTGATCCACACCACCAGCCCTTTTTGCTCTGGTTATTTTTTTTTTATATTTGTATTAGCATATATTAATTATGCAGAGGGGGTTCATTATGACATTTACATATGTGCTTACATATATGTCTTAATTAGATTCACCCCCCCATACTCATTCTTCCTCATCTCCCCTACTTTGATTATTTTTGCCTAGTCAGGCCTGGACCAGATCCTCCTGTTTATGCTTTCCCATGTAGCTAAGCTGACAAGCTTGCACCACTGTGCCCAGTCATTGGTTGAGATGGGGGCACTCATGAACATTTTTGTCCAGGCTGGCCTAAAACCATGATCCTCCCAATCTCAGACTCCTAAGTAGCTAGGATTATAGGCTTGAGTCACCGTGCCTGGCTAGATTCTGCTCTTTTTTTTACCCCCCTGGCAGTACTGGGGCTGGAACTCAGAGCCTCATGCTTGCTAGACTTGCTAGGCAAGCACTGTACCAATTGAGCCACTCTCCCAGGGCTGTTTTATATTGGGTTTTTCAAGATAGGATCTTGGGAACTATTTGCCTCAAGCCGGCTTCAAACCTCAATCCTCTTCATCTCTCCTGAGTAGCTAGGATTGCAGGCATGAGCCACTGGTACCCAGCTAGATTCTGCATTTTGAAAAAGCTTCTAGAACATGCCAAAAATGCTGTTGGTCTGTGGAACATATGTTGAGTAGCAAAGAAGTTGATATTATCTTTTATCTTGTAGGTGAAACAACAGAGGCTCACAGAGATTAAATAACTTGCCCAAGTTCATAGATGCATGATAGTAAAACAGCGATGTGGCCTAGATATGTCTGACTGTAAATTTCAAGGTGTGATAAGAGAAGCCATGGTAAAAATGAAAAGAAAGATTTTATTTCTGTTTTTTTCCCCCCTTTGGTGATACTGGGGGTTTGAACTCCAGACCTTGTAGTTGCTAAGCAGGTGCTCTACCACTTGAGCCACACTCCTAGCTCCATGTTTCAGCATTTCTTAAATAGATCTCTTCAAGTGAGACATGGCAGAATCCAGGACCAAATAAAGTTCTGGCTCCCAGCCTCATGTTTCCCTCTTTTCTTACACTATTCAAGATACTTCCTTCATGCTTAATAAGCCATATTTAGAACTGACTTTGATTTTTCTCCATTTCAGGTTTGTTGCTAAACCCTGTGCACTCCATGTTGGCATTGAGGACAGTGGTCCTTATCCGGCCCAACCCAATGCCATCCTTGAACAGGTGTTCATATCTATCACTAAAGTAAGTAAGCAAAGAAGAATAAGTGAAAATTCATATGAAGTGTTGTTTTATAGGGTATGGAAGGATAGAGAGCATGTCAGAGAGGGTAAGGATATTTTGGATAGGTCTGTATACCTTGGGGAGAACTTTAGCTCCTCAGGGAAATACCTTTGGGCCAGGATCCTATAAAAGTCAAGTTTACACACCTTTGAGTTTTAGTTCTAGCAGCCCCTAAACCACGCTTACCCTAAACACATCATGTCTTGTTTTTGTTTTTCCTTGCTCTAGCTTCTGACATTATCTAGTTGTATATTCAAGATGGTAGTCTCTGCAGTTTGTGTCTTTAAGGTCCTTTTTTACTCAGCTCAAGCTAGAGGGAAAAGACCAAACAAGAATGTGCATAGGTGAGCAGTAAAGGTCCTTCATATGTGAGATAGGATTTTTTTTTTTAAACTAAAAGTGATTTTGGGATGAAACCTGGAAAGATAAACATCACTTGAGCCACTGTGGTTATTACCCTTTTGCTTCTCAGCTAGTCAAAGGAATTTAATGAGTGGTTTGAGGAGAAAGAGATATTCTGACTCTGGTCCTACATCTACAGTATCCTGATGAGAAAAGGCTAGAGGGCCTGTCAAAGCAACTGGACTGGGATGTCCGAAAAATCCAATGCTGGTTTCGCCGTCGGAGGAATCAAGACAAGCCCCCAACGCTCACTAAGTTCTGCGAAAGCATGTATGTGTGCAGAGGGAAGTAAGGAATGAGGAGAAGGGTGGGGATACAACTAGACTGAGGTTTTCTTTTTGGAAGTTATTTCCATTATTAGGAAACTATTTGATGTACGTAGAATGCTAACTCTATTGTAAGCAAGAAAGAAGGAAACTGGAAAACTGGTCATGTTTAGTTTCTTGGACATACTTGTTAATAGGAGAGGTGTGGTTCTGTTTTGTTCCTCTTTTCCAAATAGATTGGGAGTGAATTTCTGTAACTGTATTTAATGTAGTTAGGTATGTGTACCGCTGTAACCTTGACGGCAATGGTACCAGCTTATACCAAGTTCACATTTTTATGTGACATATCACTTTTCTGGAAAAATACTTCATTCACTGGGATTTTTACTAATTATCTTCTAGAAAGAGAGAACTGTATTAGTTATTGTCATGCAATGAAAAATATTAGGCATTATCATAAGTTGGATAGAAAAGTTGATTGAAATCAACATATATTTATGGAACTCTGTTTTTCTTAGTTTATTTTTGATTTATCAGACAATAATAGGACAGGATTTTATTGTGATAATTTCATACATGCATACAGTGTACTTTGAACAAGTTCACCCTCTCCATTACTCTCCCATTCCCCTCCCTCTTCTTCCTCCTTCTTTCAAACTGGAAATCTGTTTTAAACAGAGGCTGGAAATTGACTCTCTTTGGCTTTCTAGGTAATAGCATTTGTCCCTATTCTTGGAACATGTCTTATTTCTTACCAGTAACTGTCTTGTCCTCAAGTATGCTATCTTGAGACTTTCTTTTGAGTGGACATTTGTCTAACCTCTATTCTTTGCCTACCTAGGTGGAGATTCACCTTTTATTTATGTATATTCTGCTACGGAATTAGATTTCTCTGGTTGGTGAGTTTGAACTTTCTCTGGTCTTCTGACTTGGTTTTAATCATGCCCAGATCTCTGGGGATAAAGAGTTAAATACTTTTAGATCTATCTATCTATCTATCTATCTATCTATCTATCTATCTATCTATGTGTTTACTTATTTATTTATTTTTGAGACAGGGCCTCCGTAAATTTCACAGGCTTGCCTAGATCTTTCTTTTTCCCTAAATTTTTCTACTGTGATGCCAGTAGCGCCAGTTTATTTGGTAATACATTATCTTTTATATGGGGCTTGGCTTCACTGACCTCATGACTGCTGTTTGTCCTCTAAATAATTCTAGTAATAATAGTAATATTAATCAGAATAGTACTTAAGCTAGGTAACTGAAGGCTAACCTGGATTATCTGTTTTTTCTTAGTCTCCTTGGTTCTGGGACACCCGACAGTGCTGGAACAACTATCCGTATCAGGTAAAGACAGGCCTTGTATTTGTGTATTGTAGGGTGGGTGAGAGTGTATTGTACAGTCTCAGGCCAGGCAGCACATTTGTTGAAGTTTTCTCTTTTTGCAGTACTGGGGTTTGAACTTGAACTCAGGGCTTCTTGCTTTTGAGGCTGGCGCTCTGTTGAGCAACACCTCCAGCCTTCCTTGATGTTCTTGAGGGATTAGGGGCTGAGTAGATTCCTTTGAGTTTATATATTCTGGGTATCTATATCTGGGGCCCTCATAGCAGTGAAGTCTAGTGAGCTTTTAATTCCAGGTTCCCCATTATATGTACCCTAGTTATGCTACAGAGACAAGCAACTGCTGGCATTTACTGAAGTGCTTTCTGGTTCAGGTGTCATCTTATATCAAGGACTACTTGGAGTCCTCCTAAGAGCATCTTGATTGTAATCTGTATTAGAAAAATTTCAGGAAGTACTAAAGGACTGTAATAAAGAAAGGCCTGAGCATATTTAATCCTGTGGAAAACACTGATTGTCCAGAATTCCAGACACACTGATTTGATTATGTTGGAGTATGTGTTAACTTGATCTCATTTCTGGAAATAAGATCTAAAGATGTGTATGTGGAGGTATAAAGGGAAGAGACTTAAGTTACCACACCAATCCAAAGCCTTGTAGCTATTGCAGATCTTGGGAGACCATGGAGAGGAAAGAATGAGGTCAAATAATTTAGGGTTTTGATCCTCCAAGACAGAAAAGTTGCAGAGGTGGAATGCATCTTTAACTGATATTCTAACTACTACTTTCTGTCTTCCAGCCTCTCTCAAGAGAGCTTTCTTTCTATTATATCATGGAATTGGCCTTCTATTGGTCTCTTATGTTTTCTCAATTTACAGACATTAAAAGAAAGGTAAGGACATCAGCTCCATCAACTTCTTTCTAGCAGTTGCCCCTAATGCCATTGTAATACATTCTCTTCCCTTGGGACACAAATAAGAGACAAAAGAGGTGTGATGGGACTATTAGCAATCTGTAATGTTCACAGAAATGAGACTTAATTAATGATGATTTATAGTTAAGACATTCAGAGTAGCCGAGGATGAGAACAGTTAACCAGCTAAGAAGCATACTCTTCTTATTCTTCTCTCATGTTCTTACATGTCTGAAGCTCAGGATATTTGTCAGAACTTTGAGATATCAAGGCCTAATTCAGAAAAAGACTTCATTCCAAAAATGTTGGATCTATATTTTTTGTGGCAGTAGGGATGCTTGCTCTTTCAGTTCTCCCTTTTTTTTTTTTTCCGGATACCGGAGTTTGAACTCAGAGCCTACACCTTAAGCCACTCCACCAGACCTTTTTTGTTATAGGTTTCTTTAAGATAGGGTCTTCTGAACTATTCTCTTGGGCTGGCTTCAAACTGTGATCCTCCTGATCTCTGCCTCCTGAGTAGCTAGGATTATAGGCATGAGCCACCAGTGCCTGGCCTTAACCTAAGTTTTTTTTATAACCAGACAGAGCAGAATATTCACTATTTCATTGATTTTACTGATATAATGTCAATAACTTATCATTATCTTTGATGAGAAAAACCAGTCTTAACATTTATGGGAATGGATTAAAACTAATCTCAGTTGTTAGTCTTGTCTAATGTAGAAATTTGATACTCAATTCCAATGCCTTTTGCTTTCCTGTGGTCAAGAGACAATACTTCCCTTATTAAAAATTTTTTTAAATATGTGATATTTATTTAAAAATTTTGAAATACATAAATGTTTTAAAACTAAATAGACTGCATTTGTGACTCTTATCACCCAACTCAAGAGCTAAAACATCATTAATGTCATTGTATCTGTAGAGAAGTACAGACTTGTCCTTTCTTTTTTTTTTTTTTGTACTGGGGTTCTAGCACAGGGGCCTATACCTTGAGGCATTCCACTAGCCCACCAGCCCATTTTTGGTTTTGTTTGTTTGTTTTTTGTTGTTTTTGGTTTTGGTTTTTTGCAGTACTTGGTTTTGTACTTAGGGCCTTCGCCTTGAGCCACTCACTGGCAGCCCATTTTTGTGATGGATTTTTTTGAGATAGGGTCTCACAGAACTATTTGCCTGGCCTGGCTTTGAACTGTGATCCTCCTGAGTAGCTAGGATTGCAGGCGTGAGTCACTGGTGCTGGCTTGTCCGTATTTTTTGACTCAAGTTCACCTGCCTTCTACCCTACATCCCTCACCAGACTGCGAAATATTTATTAGATATGTCTAGTAACTGTTTAAGGACTTCTCATTCTAACCTTAGCATTTGAACCTTAAATCTGAAAGTTAGGAAGTGCTTGGAGAAAGGTGAATTGTTTAGTCAATAAACATCTTTCTGAAGCTTTTCGGAAGAGTTTACCTTTGCCCCAGCACAAACATCTTTCTGTTAGATCCCTTTGGTTGAAATGTCTTTCATTAAGGCAAAAGAGTCTTAGGACTGTCTAAGGCTTTTGTGTCCCACTGACACAAGGAAAATTACTCCCGAGTGCCAGCTCAATAACCATGCTCTTTCTGTGCTGTCATGCTCTTTTCTGTGCTTTGAGCTATATGAATATAGGCTGTAATCGGTCACTAACGTAGGGACTATTGGGTTAAAATCCTAGGCAGCTCCCTAAGGGAAAGTCTAAGCAGAATAGAATATATAAGGGGTAATATCCTCAGAGAATAGTGCAGGGCATTGGGTTGACTAGCATTTCTGTAGCCTCACCTTTGCCTGAATCTTCTGTTTCCATTCCTTCTTAGGACTTTCTGATCATGTTTGTACATCACTTGGCCACCATTGGGCTTATTACCTTCTCCTACATAAACAACATGGTTCGGGTGGGAACGCTGGTCATGTGTCTACATGATGCCTCAGACTTCTTGCTGGAAGTAAGAACCCAAGCCCTCTTTCCTCATCTTTCCGTTTCTCTCTATGTGAGAACTGACAATTCTCACAGCTCAATTTTTATCCTCCTTCTCCCAGGCTGCCAAGCTGGCAAATTATGCCAAGTATCAGAGGCTCTGTGACACCCTTTTTGTGATCTTCGGTGTAGTTTTTATGGTCACTCGCCTAGGACTCTACCCATTCTGGTAAGTGCTGGGATTGTGGAACTATGGTAGGTGTGTAGCTAATGATACATTTTAGCTAGTTCAGTTTTTTTGTTTTGGTTTTCCTTTTTCTTTGGCCTAAGCTGACTCTTTATGGACTCTTCACAGGACCTCAATTGCCTTATACTATATTTCTAATGAAGCATTATCCATATTCAGAGTATATAAGTCATTTGGCTATGCCTTTCCTTACTCATCTCTGTAAACAGTCCTCACTTTGTCTGTTTGTGATACTAGAATTTAAACCCAGGACTTCATGCTTGCAAAGCAAGTGTTCTACTGCTTGAACCACATATCCAGTCTAAACGTTTCTTATTTTATCCCTCAGTAATTCCTTTGCCTTCTTTTGAACTGATTACAGAAATTTTAGGCTCTTGTTTGTGTTCCTGCTTGATACTCTCTCTTCTCTGTCCAGATCAACATACACATACACACATGCACATGCACCCATTTCATTTCTATCTCACTATCATATGGTATAAAGTCAATGACTGTGTGTTGGAGATTTTGTTTAATCTGATGGGATCAACTACCTACTGTCCTATATGTGCCTGAGGATGTAAATCATCCTTAAGGTTATGTGCTACTGCTGTCCCAATTTTGTGAAACTCTACATATTAGAAGTGATTAATACTATGAGACATTCTATCAGTTCCTAAGATACTGTATTTCTTGCCTTTGTAGAAAACACCGTAGGTTCCTCCTTTTATTCTTTTCTCACTATGGATGAATATCCCTAGAATTTCAACTAACATAAAGTATGGGGAAGAAACAAATAGGGCTCTATATCTGAGGGAACTCAGCTTCATCCCTGTCTACCTAGCTTTGACTCTAGAATCTTGACTGTTGCTTCCCTCTTCTAGGATTCTGAACACAACCCTCTTTGAGAGTTGGGAGATAATTGGACCATATCCCTCCTGGTGGCTCTTCAATGGCCTTCTCCTGATCCTGCAGGTTCTGCACATCATCTGGTCCTATCTAATTGCACGAATTGCTTTCAAAGCCTTGATCCGAGGAAAGGTGAGGATGAAGGAAGGCTTATTTCTTTGGGCTGTGTGGGAACATGGGTATTACTCAACACATTTTCTCTTTCCATTCAGCCTGATAAGCCCCACCTATACAAGCAGGTTTAACAGAAAGCCTAGGGCTCCAGAGTCTTTTGTTTATCCTTTTAAGATGAGACTTAGATGCAAGAGAAAAACCTAGTACCTTCTTCCTGTCCCTTAAAAATGACTGAGTTAAGAGTTTAAGAGATGGCTCATCCATTTCCTACCTCTTACCTATCTTCTTCAGTGGATTTCATATTTTTGCCTTTAGTATGGGAGCCTTTTTTAATAAAGGAAATCATGTGTAGAACCCCATGATATAAAATGTAAAAGTAGATTGTTCAACTGCCTAGGAGTAATATGATAGGTTACAAGTCACCCCAGGATGATGACCTGCTGTGATATTCAATATGTGGCTTATATGAGGAACTAAATACCTGCCTCACCCCACTGTTGCATGAGGCAAGGGTTTTAAGTGAATGGGTGGTTAGTGTTTCTATTACCCATCTATCTTACGTCAAGAGCCCGAAACAAAGAAAAGTGTCCTTTTGGTTGGGGGTGGAGGGGGGGTTGTTGCTGGAGATCAAACCCAGGACCTTACACATACTAGGCAAGCACTATACCGCCAAGTTACAGCCCCAGCCCTGAAAGGTGCTATCTAATTTGATAAAACTTACAATTGAATTTTGTAAATTCTAAAGCAATCAGAATGATTAGCCAGTGTCTTCAGTTAAGCAGAATCCCAACTGGGATGGGCTCTGCAAAAGGAGATGTTAATTCTAGATCAAACAGATGGAACGTAACCTAAGTATTTATAACCTCTTTATGGTTATAATTAGTTTCAGAATTTGCTCAGTGTGCCTATGCATCCTGCTGTAGCTACTGGACATCTCTGTTCTCCCCTGCTTTTCTTTCCTGACCAGGTGACCTATCCAGGAAGGATTAGACCCAGACTCTGTACTCTCCACTCTTTTCTCACCTCCTTCCTTTTTTCTATGCCTGGTGGGAGCTGGACAGTTTCATCTCTTGCATGTAAGTGTATCTGTGCTTCTAGTATTCTAGTATTCAGGGAAGCATGTCTGTCTGAATGTATATCTCTTCCTTTCTGCTGTCCTTTCTGTTCCCCTTGTTTGTCTCGGAGCATGCCTTCCTTCCTGACCTTGTGGGGCCATTGTTGTCTTGGAGCTGAAGTTGCCAGATTCTTTTCCTAAATTGAGGCAAGAGTTGAGTCTACTCTTTTTTTTTTTCCTTCTTTCTTTTTTATTTTTAATTTTTTGCTTTTGAGCATCCCTTTACCTCACAATCTAAAACACTCTGCCCTCTGCTGGAAATTTCCTAAAGTTCAGGTAGTTAGTTAGTCATCTGGGTTCTGGAGGTAACACCTTCAGTGAACTGTAGAATCATAGAACTAATCTAAAGCAAATGCCTATCTCCTTGGCAACAGCAGTTGTAGCCTTGTTCCTTTTCACCTCCTTCTCTCCTTTTTTTGAACAACATTTACTTATTATCCTTCAGTTGCAAATGTCAGAAGTCTAACACAGGTCTCATGGGGTTTCTCTACATGGTAGAGAATTTGAAATACTTTGCTTGATACGTAGGATAGCTCGGATTAGAAAACACTGCTCTAATTGAAATTCTTCATTAAAAATACAAAATAAAAAACTCAGGGTAAAAGGTAATGATTCACAGATAGTAGCATGATTGGTACTGGTTTTCTTTTTATCACTGACTGCTAATCCATTCTTGTTTTTACCATAGTGTGTATCTTGGGTATGCTGAAGTTTCATGAGAGAAGTAGTTCTGTTATTGGAAAAGAGGAGATTAGGAAATGATGTCATAAGACAGTGATAATTGAGCCCAGGAATAGTAGTACTGCTGAAAAAAGCCCATTATGGATCAGTTTTGGGGATAAAGCAAAACTTGGGATAGCCATTATGAATAAATGCAGAGCCCACAACCACCAGAAGATAGAAGCAATGATTACAATCTTATGTATTGTTTGTATTGGCTTTCCCTGTTCTTAGATGTGGAAAAGGGAAAAACAGTGACTGAAGTTTCTCTCAAACCTAAAGGAAGAATCATTGAATGGCATCACTTTTCTTAGGCTGGTTCTGAAAGGCACTCCTGTCTACCACAGCAGCTTCTATTCTAAGGAAAACAGAATCAGAAATGGCAAGAGAGAAAACCAGAAAGCAGGCAAAGGATATTCACAGTAGTAGCTATGGTCCAAATAATACACTGATTAGGTATCACCAGAAAGTAGACCTTTGTGGGAACAGCATGCAAATGTGAGCTCTTTGAGCTTATTCTGTCTTAAAATTTAAGAAAAATTCTGTACTCACTCTCCTGCCTTTGGTACCATCCCACCCAGGTGTCTAAAGATGATCGCAGTGATGTGGAGAGCAGCTCAGAGGAAGAAGATGAAACTACCTGCACAAAAAGCCCCTCTGGCAGTAGCTCTAGCAATGGTGCCAATTGGGTAAATGGCCACATGAGAGGCAGCTGCTGGGCTCAAGAGTAAGATGGTTGGCATGGGGACTTTAGCACATTTGGACTTGTAGGGCTGCTGGCAACCTACTACTCTTGGGCTCCTCCACATCTACACTCCTGTGACTAGAGGGGACTACAAGGCACTGAGGAGAATCAAACAAACAAATATTTTCACTTTAAAAAAAAAAAGAAGAAAAATTATGCCATTTTGTATTTAATGCCCTTCAGGTCCTTTCATTAATGTTATTTGTTCAGAGAGAGAGAGAGAGAGTGAGAGTGTGTGTGTGTATGCATGTGTGTGTTTATGCATGTGCATTTGTGCATATGCATGAGTTTTATCATCTGGGTTGGGACATGTTCTAGACTGGCGCCAGTAGGCCATGCCTAGTCTCCTTTGAACCCACCTTAATCCCAGATTTGACTGCATCTTGAATTCTGCTGTTTCGGACTATCTGCTGCTTTGTGGCCTGTGGCTCTTGAGACTTTGAATTCCTGGACTCTGAATAGAGCAGCCAGGTTCAGCTCCAGGTTTCTACACTGTTTTCTTTCAGAACAGGAAGGGATTATTTCATATTATGAAGTTGTATAGAAACAGAACCTTGGATAGGCAGCCAGGATAGTTGGCCCCTAGCTAGATCTCCTTCCTGCCACCTGATAGTGACAGGGACAACTGTTGATACCCTGCTCTTTACTCAATGGTACACAGGGAGGGCAGTGGGATAGGGTGAGCTGAGGGCTGGAGGAGGACAACAGCCACTGGGTGCGCTGTTAACGGTTTTATACTATTGTTTACTCTTCTGTGATTAAAGTGCTTCAACCATCTACTGTCTCTACCTTTTTTCTTTTTTATTTTTGGTGGTACTGGGGACTTTACCTCTTTTATGACTCTTTCACTAATTCCCCGAATTCATAAAGATTTTTGTTTTTTAGAGACAGGGTCTTGCTATCTAGCCCAGGCTGGCCTAGAACTCATGATTCTCCTGCCTCACCTTCCTCAGTACTGGGATTACAGACATGCACCATAATTAAGAATCTTTTAGGTCTCATTCAAGGAGATCTGAACACCATATTTTTCCTTTCTAAAGGTAGATGCTAAGAAGAATTATCCAGGTTTCTATATTTTAAGGCTTTATGTTTTAAGAAAAAGTAAGCATGTTGAATTGGCCACAATAATAATGTTGAGTAGATAAAAGCATATATATTGCAAAGCAAACAAAGATTTTAGTTGAAAGCTAAGATACCTTCAGTAGGGTATCTCTCTTTCTCATTTTATTCACTACAGAGACCACCAGTTAACATTTTATGGTTATGGTAAAACATCTGAGCGGATGTTTTCTCTTTTGGTTCTGTTTTGTCTTTTAACCCATAGAAAAGAAATCATCCTAATCCAGATTTTTTTCTAGGGCTCAGCAAAATTACCATATGTAGCATTCATCTCTAGAATAATTTTACATTTAGTGAATAATTAGATTATAAAGTCATATGGAAACACTGGGACTTGTGGTGTATACCTGTAATCCCAACTATGTGGGGAGGCTAAGGCAGGAGGATCACAAATTCGAGGCCGGCCTGGGCAACTTAGCAAGACCCTGTCTTAAAGAGAAAAAAAAGAAAAGACACATGGACAGCTTTATGTTGGGGGGATGAGAATTGAAAGAAATAGGTATTGATGTTCACTGACATAGGGCTATTTACCATACTAAATTTACCTTCCTGAGAAACTGGATTTTAAAAAGACTTAACTGTGGGGCATGATAAAATTAAGTTTTAAGTAGTCATTTGGTTAGAGCTAATCAGAAAAACTAAAAGACAGGTCTTAGATTTAGTTCTGCATCTTTCCAGATTATTGAGTAGACTAGTCATTGTGAAATATGAGTAACAGGTTGTTTAAAGTCAAATGAAATAGGTATTTTTGCCTTTTGAAATTGAATATTTGCTTTGTTGATAGTCTGGGCTGGTTGGCCCAAAAGATGCAAACAAGTGGTACAATAATTAAAAAAAATAGCCAACACACAGCTCTTACTACATACTAGGCACTGTATTGAACATATTAATAACATGAAGCAAAAAGAGGTTAACTGCCCAAAGGTCAAACAGCTAATAAACCCATTGTCTTTATTCTTAACTGCTATACTATATTCTATACTGTACTTATAATGAGTACAGTATGAAGACTGAGTACATAATGAAGTATGTAATGAGGACTAGATGTTGAGAAACATTTGGCCATAGTCACATACTGATTATAGTTTGCCTCAGATGAGGATCAATTAATTACAGGAATAGGATCTTGTTCTGAGAAGGAACTGTGTGCAGGTGGTTGGAGCAGGGGTGAGAGCTAGCATGAGAGATTGGACACAGCTAGAAGATAATAGTGATATTCATATAGCAAGACTGTCGTAGGCCAGTATTATAGATGGCCTAGAAAGGTTTCATGCCTGAAAGAAAGGACCCAAATTAGTGGAGAGGTAGGATACAGACTCACAGCATGTCTATCAGACAACTAGAAATAGCTGTAAGAGAAGGCTCTTCTCTGTTGAAAAGAGGGTCTTATCATTTATTGAAAAATAAACTTTTTATAGTGCTTTACTGCTTAGAATGTGATTTCACATCTATTGGTAAGTGAACTTCAAAAACATTTCTGTAAAAATAGAGATGATTATCCCCTTCCATAAATCTGTGTTGTGATTATCTATCACTATGTAACAAACCACTTTTTTTTCCTTTTCCATAATTTTAATCTTATGAATAATGCCTTCTCTTTTTTTTCTTTTTTATATTCGTAGTATTGTTGTACTGGTGGTACACTGTGACATTACAGAAGTTCTTACACTATATCATAGTTGACACACCTTCTCCATTATTCTCCTTTATCCCTCCTCCCCCAGCCATATTATTCTCTCACATGTGGAACAAGTTATACTACTGCATTGAAAGGTTTGGTTCACTTTTGTCCCACACTCAAAATTCCCATTGTCTACACGTGAGCCCAGAAAGAGTGGACAAACCACTCTTAAACAGTAACTGAAAGGTCAATACACTGTTTTCATCCCAGATCAAAGAATTCCAAGTTAGGATCTGGATAAAGGATAAACCCCTGAATTGATGAGTACACCCACACACTGATCCAGAATCTGGACTTGCTTAACAGGGAGCCAGGGCTAACCTGCTTCACCCTGCCTGAGAACCAGGGAGCACTGCATTTCTCCACAGGGTGGAGGAGAAGAGGCAGAATAAACCAAGTCCAGACACCTGTCTAGGTGTACTCATTCTCCTGTTTGAAAAGATGGCAAGGACATGCAGTCACTTCTACCTGTCTTCTGCTGTTGGTATCTTATGTATTCTTAGTTTACCCTGATCCATCTCTTGTCTTTTGGCTTCACATTAGGGCTTCTTGGTCAAAATCTGCTGTGATGTACATGAAGATTTCAGATTCAATTTCAGTGTATCTTTAAGTTTTTCAAAGGTAGATGGAAACTGAAGCAGGATATAATTGCCAAAACCAGACTTGAGGTGAGTAACCGCTGGAAAGGATTTTCTGTCTTTAGGTCAAGATCTGAAAATCTAGTGCAGCAATATCATGAATCTTCAGGAGAAACTTTCAGGGAACCAGTGATTCATATAGTATCCACAGTTTGATCACTTACAGCAGATGTCAGTATAAGAAACCTTACAATCCCTGGGCTATCTTTTTTTTTTTCCCCTTGGTACTAGAGTTTGAAGTCGGCCTCAGGCTTGCTAGGCAGGTGCTGTACCACTTGAGCCACTCCTCAGCCCTTTATTTTCTTTATTTCTCTCCCTGCACACTCAGTTTATTTCTATCCTTTAGTTCGCTTTTGGAGGGACAGCAAATATCTAATATCTCAGAAGCTAGGTTGGGAAATATGCTCAACAATAAGAACTGAACTTTAAATTGAGTTTAAAAATGTACATCAAGAGCAGAAAATCTTCCAGATTTGATTTTCTATATGACTGCTCTGTAAATACTTGGGGTTTTTTCATTTTTTTGAAAGTAGACAAAATCTGTGGAAATTGTTTCCCAAAATATTACAAAAAAAGAAAAACTATATGCAAATAAATTTCTTTGGTTTAAAAAAAGGACTTTTTTTTGGTACTGGGGTTTGAACTCAGGGCCTATACTTTCAACCACTCCACCAACCCTTTTTTCTGATGGCTTTTTTTTTTGAGATAGGGTCTCATGAACTATTTCCCCGGGCTGGCTTCAAAACTGAGATCTTCCTGATCTCTGCCTCCTGAGTAGCTAGAATTAGAAGCATGAGCCACCAGCACCCGGCAATGTGTTATTTCTTATAATTGGGTTGGTTGATTGAACTCAGTTGGAGTTACCTCATGTGAGTGCAGTCATATAGCAACTGGGAATGGAGTCATTTGAAGACCCAGTTGGCCTGCACATCTAAGATGATTAACTTGCCTGGCTGTTGATGCTGGCTTTTCCCTGAGAGCTCAGTCATGGGCTTTGCTTAGGTGGCTGGTTTCTAAGAGGCAGGAAGCAGAAGCTGCCGGGATATTTAAAAGGGTCATCTAGAGCTGGCACACATCAATTCTACCATATTTTATTGATCAAAAAGTCACAGAGATTGCCCAAATTCAAGAGAGTGGCACGATGGACTCTACCTCTTGATGGGAGAGTAGCAAAATCACTGTGAAATACTGTTGTAGCCATCTGTTAAAAACTCAGTCTGCCTCCATGAGGAAACCCAGTTTCAGAAGTTTTTTAAAAAAACACAAACATCTTAGATTGCCATCATCTATCATGCACTTTCATATCTTAAGCCTAAAAATGCTTATACAAGTTAGTGGATGGCAGTACTCACCCCGGCCTTTTGGCATAAGTAGGGTTAGTAGATGATAGTATTCTAAATTTAAACCAAGTTCTTAAGACTTTAGAGCCAGTATTCAAGCAGTGAGATAATGCAGTTCAGTAACAGCTACCTATATGCTAGAAACTGTTACAGGAACTGAGGACACAAAGGTGAACAAGATCTGGTTTGTATTTTTAAAGGGCTCACTTCGAATAAGGAAAAAAATATATAGCCAGGCACCTATGGCTCACATCTGTAATCCTGGCTACTCAGGAGGTAGAGATCAGGAGGATTGAGGTTCAAGATCAGTCCAAAAGACCCCATCTTCAAAATAGAGTACAATGGAGTGGAGACATTTGTCAAGTGATAGAGCACCTGGTTTGTAAACTCGAAGCCCTGAGTTCAAATCCCCAATCCCACCAAGAAAAAAAATGGTCTTACTATGTCATTCAGGCTGGTCTCAAACTCATGATCCTCCTGTCTCAGCCTCCTGAGTGTTGAGACAAGTTGTACACCACCATACCCAGCTGATTTATTTTTAATGCCTAGCTGAGCTTCTCAGAAAGAGACACAAAAGATGTAAAAGAATTAAAAACTAGAGCAGGAATTGAAAACTAGCAGAATCTATAGATTCAAATACTACATTCCCCAGAAGGCAAGGGAAAGTAACTTGAGGATTTGGGTTTAAATACAGCAAGAGACGAGACTGGCTCCATGCAGGAAGCTGGTACTAAGAGCCCCATTTAAACCTGGGACCCTGAGAGCAACAGCCTTAGTAAAAGAGGGGAAACTTACTAGAAATTTACCCAGTTGGAAAAAGAAGAAAGCATGGAAGTTTGAATACCTGGACTTTGTATAGCCAGATTCTTCACAATTCTAACCCCTGATCCTGTACTTCATGGGAATTTGAGAACCTAATTGTACACTTCCCATGTCACCTAGGAAATATACTCAGGCTGGTGGAGTGGCCCAAGTGGTAGAACACCTGCCCTAGCAAGTGTGAGGCCCTGAGTTCAAACCCCAGTATTGCCAAAAAAGAAAGAAAAGGAACTATCACATGATCACATGCTGTATCTCATCCCCAGGTAAGAAGTTGAATAAAAATTTATCTCAATTTTTATTTCAATGGTGAGTCACCAGTGGCTTATGCCTG